TACAGAATTACAAAATATCTTGTTCAGCATTAGCAGTCTACTAATGATCAGAAAGGGGGACTGGGCTAGAGAGGCAGGGGGCATTTGCTCCCTGGGCCAGTGCTAAAAACATACATTAGTCTGGTGGCCCTGAGTGGAAATACTACACTATTCAGACAGTGATCAAAGCGGGAGCCACAGTCACTGACACACGGTGAGCACTACATAACTGCTTCCTCCCCATTCAGACCTGTAAACAGTTCCAGATGGAAGTCCTTCAGTGCCGACTTCTTCTGTGATTCTGAGATGTCATGTAGTTAAATGAGAATAGCCACAGAAGCTGGCTTTTCTCATTTAACTACACAAGGAAGCTCATGCTGTAAGATATAACTGTATAACTATCATGAATATGCCACTTGGTTACATCTGACCCAAAGCCAAATGATCACAGTGCTCACCTGGTAGGTCAATACATCTGTGCACTGAAAAGACATTGAGGGGAATTTATCAAAACTGGAGCAGACAATCTGGAGCAGCTGTGCAATACAACCACTCAGCTTCTCTCTTTAGTTTGTTCAGTTAAGATTTGAAAATTAAAGAGAGAAGCTGATTGGTTGCCATGCACAGTTGCTCCTGATTTTGTCTGCTCCAGTATTGATACATTCCCTTCATTGTGTTATCTCAGGGCAACAATAGTCATGTATAAAATAAAGATACACTGAACCAATGTGTAACCGCTGATGTTTTTCTCATAGCAATCATAGTAAAGCTATTATTTAAGTAATTATATTTTTCTAGTGCAGGTTAGAAATTAAATAGGAGAATCAAATAGACTGCAATGGTTGCCAATAAAACTTTATCATACACTTTACATGCAGATTATTTGATTACTTTTTATTAGGGATGCACCGATACCACTTTTTTAAGGCCGAGTACGAGTACCGATACTTTTTTTTTCAAGTACTCGCCGATACCAATTACCGATACTTTTTCCTAAAGGGACAGGTCACATTTTTTTCTAAAGCAATACAAAATCATGATTTTAGGTCAGTTTCTTAATATTATGAAGAACATGAACACTCTGTAGTGTGGCACAGCTATATCCAATTCTGCATACCTGGCTTTATATTATAAGAACTTTATAATATAAAGCCAGGTATGCAGAATTGGGTACAGCTGTTCCACACTATACAATAATACACTGTTCTGGAGTCTGGACATGTGATAATCTATTTTCCCCACTAGGGGGATACAAGCCTTAGTTAGCAATGGCATGATAAATATTAATTTCATTATTCAATGTCTTTTTTTAATATTATAACATTTGGACACATGTCCAGACTGCAGACCAGAACACAGTGTGGCACAGCTACAGCTAATTCTGTATAACTGGCTTTATATTATTATTACATTGTCTTATAATATAAAGCCAGGTATGCAGAATTGGATATAGCTGTGCCTGTTCTGGTCTGCAGTCTGGACATGTGCTCATCTATTTTGACCACTAGGGGGATACAAGCCTTAGTTAGCAATATCTACATAGTTATTTTCTTTTTTTTTTAAACAATATATGCCGGTAAACAGCATTTTTGTGCCCAGCCCCATGAGGTCTGTCAGTACTAACCTGTTGTGTCGTCTTCTCCGTCTCCGTCTGCTTCAGCCACTCCGTGTCACAGCCTAGTCATCTGCTCCATTCTGACCTCTTCTCCCGCTGATTGGCCGATTGGATGATGACAGGCTTCCTCACCAGTCACTCCTGACTGGTGAGGAAGCCTGTCAATCATCCAATCGGCCAATCAGCGGGAGAAGAGGT